TATGCTTATTTGGATTCCTAATTAATCCAAGACATTTACTTAGTATAGGCAAAAAGGGTTTTTTGGTCATTTTGGTGTTCAGTTTTATTCCATTCATTTCAGAGCTTGAGGATATCCACTCATTCCTGAGCTTGGTGATATTCTTGGTCATTTGTATTCTAAGGGTATTCTGGTCATTTTATAGATCCATTGTAGTCCAATAATTTATTTCGTCCGATCTTATTATTAAATTCAAACTTATCATTTATGTCAGGCTCATCGAACTATTCTGACAGATCTAATGTATTTCAATCATTTCCATCCATTTGATCTTATTATTTAATTCAAACGTATCATCTTTTCCAGTTCTTTTTGAATAGTTCTGACAAAATAACACCCTTGATAATTTATTATTCACGTATTTACTCATAACTCGGATATTTTATGGTCAAGTGTCTTCTCAGACTTTACAAACGGAATATCATGAATTTTCTACACGAAGTCAGGATCTTAACAATCAAATATGTACTTAATCGAGTTAAGTACGAATCCTCAAAGTACTTTCTCATTCAGGGTCAACTCGGACTATTTTACCTCTCAAGGGCATTTTCGTAATTTATTAACCAAATAATTTCGTAATTAACTCTTAACAAAAATAATATGATTTAGAGATTCTATGATAAATTACTTTCTTGAACATTCTCTGATATTGAAATGATTTCATAACAGACTTCTAGTATCTTGCACAAACCCTCTTGGGGTTAAAAACCGGTTATCCCAATTTTCTAAGCATACTAACATTTCTTATGCACATCTGTAGTTTTATCACATCAATAAATCTTTTCAGAGTTATTAATCAACTTCCATGAACAATTCTTGTCATTTTACTACATAGGGGTATTTTCGTAATTTTACCATATCGGAGTATTCTCATAATTTCTCATCCAAGTACCTTTAACATTTAACCTTTAATGAAATAAATTATGAGTTACATATCCAGGTTGATTTCTTTATCACTAAGCACAGAACTTATAATTTAATTCTAACAATCCCTCAATTTCTTATTTCAATCATCCGAACCATAATCAGTTTCCAAATTTCTATTGTATTCGGATCGAGTGTAGGAATTCATTAACTACACCAATGAGGCCAATATTATCTTATTCATGCATTTACCAATATTCACATGCTTCATAAAGCATAAAGAGGTAGTAAAATATTATCTCGATTTCCGTGCCATACTGATCGACCATAAAAATTACATTCGAACACCTTTGATCTTCAATTCAACTTCCAATAATTCCTCGGATCCATATAAACAGAAATTACATCAAAAACGGAGCTTAATTCTGAAAAACGGATCGAATCGGATGATAAATCAGTGAAAAACAGCTTACCGGGTTCGAATTTGGCGAAACAGACTTCGGATTCGGATTCAGGACATCGTAAGCATAAAATATGACTTTTCAAAAATTTGGAATTTTCTGTCAAAATCAAAGTCAACGGGTTTGACTGGAAATATCGAGGTCTTCGGGTTCGAATTTCGAAAAACGGACAGCGGAATCGGATTTGGAACGTCGAAAAATATCAGGATAGATATACTCGATCAAAGTCAAAGGTCGTTTAATGCCCGGTCTACGCCGGTCAAAGTTTTGGTCAATAGTGGCGCCGGTCAACGGTCAACAGTCGACCATTTTACACAAATATCACCCTAACAAAAATTAATTACCAAATTAGCCACATTCTGTAAATATTTACCAAAATAACACCCGAATTTTACACAAATAGCACCCAAACAGAAATTAATTCCCAAATTAGCACCCAGAAGATGCACACTCTCGGGGGTGGCGCGTGAACAGCGATACGGTGTCGGAAAATTCCCGGAAAATTCCTAAAAATTATTTTAAGCGATTTTGAGGCACTTACAAAGATCGGTTCACAATTTTGAACGGTGGAGAGCTCGATTCCGAAACGTCAGAAACTTTGACTTTCTCACCCCTCCACTCGCCGACGACGACGGAGAAACGGAAAACACCGGAGGACTCGGAACGATGCAAGGAACACGATGGTGCAGGAGGTGTCGTAAACGGATGACCGGATCGTCGTGAATCGACGAAAAACCAACTGAAATCGAGTTATTGCTAACGATACTTTCGACTGAAATTAACGACGAAGGGAGACGATTCACGATGAAAGGTTTGAAGGGTTTTGTTCCTCGGTCGACAACGAACACGATGGTGGTTTCGGTTTGTCGATCGGAGGTCGGATGGCGAGTAGATCGGAGTTGAAAAAAGGACAGTTGGAGAAGGGAAAACTGGAAAATATGCATCTGCGCACGAGAAGAGATTTATAATTCAACATATATAAATAATGGGTAAACCAAGAGTTTAGCCACTGAACTTCCTGCATTCATAAAACGGTCTACCAACTTTGAAATCTTACAATTTAATCCCCGATTTCTTCCAAAAATACCAATTAAATTCACCACTTTATAATTTCTTAAATTTTAACCCCTAAATTGGGGTGTTACAAGGCGGGTCTAGATGGGTATGTCACTAGTGGGTAGCGGGTGTGGGGATGGATTTGAAAATGTACCCGCGTGGGCGGGTGTGGATTTGAAAATTTGTACCCATCATGGGTGGTGAGCGGGTGGTGGATTGAAAAATAGTATGTGGGTATGAGGATGGGGATGGGGTATCCGCACCCGACCCGCCCGTTTGCCATCCCTATCCCTAATAGGGCGTATTCGACTTGGCCTTTCTCGGTTTGTTAACCCGCCAAGCCATGATTCGGTTTGCTAAACTTCAGGGAACTCATCATTCCCTGTTTACAATCAAATTAAAGCTCTCTCCCTTTCGGGAATGTATATGATACATAGCCTAATTTAAGATTAATAAATCATATAGAAGAAATATAATTGAAAATATTATAAAAATATAATATTTTTATTAGACACAACTTAAAATGTATGTTTGTTTTTGAAATTTTAATGACCTTGAGACGAATCAAAGAATTAAATCATGATCAGATATTTGAATTACAATTTGTATTTGTGTTTTGTGGATATAATGGATGGTATTACAATCATTGTAAATATTGTGGTTGAAATTTTTTAACAACATATATTATTATGGATATTAAAATTGTTGATATCATGGTTTCGGACAATATCATTATCACTATATAATAATCATTGTTGTGGTTATAGATCATTATTTAAATAAGTATTCTTAATAATAAGTGTTGAAAAATAAATATTATATAAAACTCCATAATAATAAATATTGAAAAAATAGGTCTCTAATAAATATTAAAAAGTGTAAATTTTAAGATAATACTCATAATAACAAATATCGAAAAAATTAAACATGTAATAAAAAGTATTAGAAAAATTGGACTCATGATAACAAATAAATATTATAAAAGAAATTAAATTTTAAAAATATGTCTCTAATAATAAATATTAAAAAATTAAATTTATGATAATAAGTATTGGAGAAAAATAGACCTTTAATAACAAATGTTAAAAATATTGATAGAAATTGGAAATTTATTAAAATACTAGAAAAAAATAAATTATAAGAGTAATCATCTAGTAATAAATATTAGAATTGAGCCCATAATAATAAATATGGAGGAAAAATTGAACTCTTAATAACAAGTATTAAAAATAATTAGCTCATATAAATGATAAAACATTTTTTTACAAATATAATACAATATTATAAAAATCATGGACCCTGTGCAGGTCTCCTTCTTGCCCAGGCTCAGATACAACAGGCTAATGTTATTTTTTTAATATTTTTTGGTTGCAATTCTTATTTAAAACATTTTTGATTCAATTAAAAATATTTTAAAATTAACATTATAAATTACGTTCAACTAAAAATATTATTTTTTATAATATTTTTAATTACATATATTCTCTATCATTTTTTAATAAAATATTTTTAATCACATTTATTCTCTATCATTTCTTAACTTTGAATTAAATTACCGTATGACAGACTTTTAGTAAAATATCAGACAAAGCAAAAGTAGCTGCGTAAAATTTATATATTGAGGGGATTGAGAGGGGTTTATATAGGGGATGAGAAGGGGTAGTTGAGGTAAAATGGATGGGACATTTATGACATTTAATGGAAGCCACGTCATCGGGAATGTGCCTTCCCCATGTGGCAGCCGATTCATCAAATATCCCGTGAAAGCGTGTCCTCGGAAATACGCTTTTGTGTCACTTCAACCGAAAAGATACTACTTCGAAAAATATGGATCAACAGATGTTATAACGATAGAATTTAAAAAAAAAAACAAGTTTGGTCAAAAATCCTAAAATTTACATATTGACGTGATGAATTATAGACTTATAGCTTTGTCATGCTATTTTTTATTTGGAAATTTATCAAATTATTTATTTTTTTTATCAATTTTAAAATTAATAATATTAAGTCACATGTCTAATTGTTCTGGTTAAATAATTTTTTATCTAATTTTGAAATCAGATTGAATTCTAAATTCTTCATTATTATTTTATTTATAGTTAATTTATGTCAATATTTATATATATACTTTTTCGAATAGTTATACATATATACATACTTTTTAGATCTCTTTTATCAAAATATTTTCACATGTCATATTTATTTGATAAATTAAGTTTATATTATAATAATTAGTATAGAAAAAAAAATTTAAAATGAGATAATCAACTACGATTATTCAATAAAACTTAAAACGTTAAATTTAATCAAATGAAAATATATAGAAATAAATTTTAGATCCCAACTCTATACAATAAAGGATATTTGCAGAGCAGTAGAACAGAAACAGCGGGCATCGAAAAAGAGAATTAAAAGCTGTTTTTCTTTTTCATTTTTTCCAATTATATTTTTTGGTTTTTCCTTGATGTTCTTTTCCTTGCAACTTTTACAAAGGAAGCAAATGGCAGTGAAAATTAACAATTGCCATCCACTTGCCATATTTATCCATCAGGCAGAGTTAAAGTAAACAAGTAACAACCAAAATTTGAAAGGATAAACCCTAGCTAGTTGCTTACTTACATTTGCAAAATATTAAAGAGAAAAAAAGAATGGAAGGGAGACCTTTTGTCATCTTTCTGTAGTTACCGATGAATTCCAGTTTGCAAAGATGAATTGAGCACCAATTGTTCAGCTTCCCACCGTGCCTTGGCAACAACTACATCATGAATTGGCACGTATTCCTATGTACATATCCAAACAAAACACTATCCTAAGTTCTCGGAACACACAATAATTCAATAAAAGAAATATACATTATTTGCTGATAAAATGAACCCAGTAATTGATTAATCTGCCCCGTGATACCTCAAGTTTCTGGACAAGTTCTCCTGCAGTTGGAGCAGAGACGATGATACTACGCTGCGACGGTTTAATGAAGCCATCATCCACGGCTTTGTCTAGGAAGGTGAGCAAATGATTATAGTAGCCATCCACATTAATCAACCCAACCTGTTCTCATTACATAAAAAAAATTAAGAATGATGGAGAAACAGTTGCCGAATTGATTCATCACGATGAAATGGGTTTACAGGCTTGTCGTGGATTCCAAGCTGGGCCCATGTTATGACTTCTAGCAACTCTTCGAGGGTTCCATATCCACCTGGGTTTAATTGAAATTAAACAAGGACTAAGTGAATTAAATTACGTATAATTGCACAGCTGGTGATCGCGTAATCAATATGAAACTTGAAAGGGACCTGGTAGGGCGATAAAACAGTCAGAATGGCTGGCCATCTCAGCTTTCCTTTGGTGCATGTCCGCTACAGCTTTGACCTCGCCTATTGTTTCCCCTGTTATCTGCTTAACCAAAACAAAAGCATGGTTTTGAAAAGAGACTCAACGTTATTAAATACGAAAAAAAAACAGAAGGGAGATTAAGATTGAACAGATTGTAGACACCTCTTTGCACATCAGTGTTTTGGGGATAATTCTGTGGAAGAAAACAAAGAAAATCAACAACAATGTATTAAACGAATTCCGCGAGGAGTAAATATATGTTCGTATTGGTACCCTAAAACATGGCCTCCTCCGCGGTGGACCGCCTGAGAAACCAAACCCATTAACCCGACGCTTCCTCCGCCGTAAACAAGATCCAACTTGCGGGACAACTTGAGGATGAATTGAAAAGCCCAAGGAATCGATATTAGTGGAGAGTTGTTAGGGCAGAGGAAGGCATATGAGGAAAGAGTAGAGTACCAACCAGTTGTTGTGCCAGCTCCAGCGCGGCTTCGCGATAGCTGTTTCGCTTGCCGGAGCTGCTTCCACAAAAGACACAGACACTTTTGAACCTGCTGGAATTCAATGCTTTATTCTTCTCGTCCATCTCTCTCTCTGCTTTCGGTGGTGTGCGTTTATTGATTTTACTGCTCTGTCTATTTTGATTGATTTAACCTAAAAGCTAAAGGTTCTTGGGCAAAGCAGGACCCAAAGTGGAACACGGGAGTACACCATTTATAGGAACCCCCCAATTTAATCTGATTTGATTACACGCGGAATCATTTTGTGCAACAAAAAACCCGAAATCTTTGATTTTACCAAATTCGCCGACAGGATTCCTTTCTATTCCCCGCTCTCATCCATTGATTTTATTCCACGGTCCACACCATTTTAATCTCTCTTTTTATCCTCTCGATTCACTTCGTTTTAATTAATATGAATTACATCAATTATGTTAAAACAAAATCTTTTTTAAAATATTATTTTATCTATGTACAATAAATTAATTTATCATTATTAATAGTTTATTATACAATAGTATACAGTTACTTGTTGAAGTTCAGTCGCCGTATCAAGACCATTAAATTCCTATTGCCGACCATTAATTCATAAAAACCATGTTGATTTATAAAATATTAAAATTATTTTTTTGGCAACAATATTAACATCACTTCGTGCAGTTGTTCTATATGTCTTATTGCTCATTGGACATCCTTAATGATTCAACGGTTTAATGGCAAAATGACAGTATCACATTGCGATAAGCCCCAAACGGCAGACTAATGTGCCACATCATGCCACGTCATTCTCTACTGACGGCTGATAACGACAGAGACCATGATGCAAACGAATTAAAAGTTTGATGACTGTGGTGCAAGTTTCAAATATTGGGTAATCAAAATTTAAGCTCCCTAAAAGTTTGATAACTATATATACAGTTTACCCTTAATTAAATGATAAAGAGAAGCAGCGAGCCAGATTGCTCAAGGCTGCGGCCGGCATCGGTAAGAGTTTCACTGTTCCCAGCATAGCTTGGCACTAAAATCAATGGTTGGAACACTATTTACTACGACTTGAGTGCATAATTGTTCATTATTTAAGTAACAAAACGACGTCGACCGGTATTATTTTCGTGGTAGTCTTAGCTGTCTAACGAAGCCATGCTCCTGTATGCATGTGAACAAAAATATAACCCACAAGATTAACTATATATCTAAGTATTTTATATTTTAGGAAAACTACCTAAAACTATATATCTCATTAATTTTATACAAAATCTATGCAAGAAAATTACTTAAAGTTTTTTTTACATGAACCAAATTACCTCGTTAGTTAAAAAATCATTGTTGATCTTAAGAGTTAAAGATTCAAACACTAGTGGCTGCTGGAGGGTGATTGAATATTCATTAACAAATGATTAAAAATATTTAAAATATATACTACTTTATAATCATATTAACTTAATTTTTTTTTCAATTATTAAGAGATGGAAAATGAAGTATTCTTTGCAGCCAAGTGGAGGAGTGGCATATGATCTAAGGGTCCACGGAAGTCGTTATGAGGAGCGCTGCTGGCGAGTTGGAGGCCCGTTTAAAAAGTTTGACCTTTGCCTATTTTTAATGCCCGTGAGGCCCTTCTGCCAACTCTCAGCTTTTGGGCGTCAACTAGTTCCGTACAACGACCGAACAATTTTGCCACACGTGTCATAGGTAAGATACACTAGGTAATCCTTTCCTAATTTTATAACTCATGGGGTGTTGTAGAATACAAATATTTTGATTTTTAGATATCTTAAATTCAATCAGTTATATATATAAGATTTTGTGTTGTGTATTATTAAGAAAGATTATAAATAAATATTATATTATTATAAAAAAATTACTAAAAAATATGTTTAAACTAACTACTTTAGTTTATTTCTCACTCTTCTTCTTGTGGCTTGCTCCAAAAGATGCTTTCGTTGAGAAGCGAAAAGCATTCCAAAGTGTGGAGGCAGTATTACTATTCCACAAGGAAGCATTATTATTGGTAAAAGGAATAGCGAATACGGAATACCTGTCATTTTCTTCAAAGAAAAAAAAAAAGGTTGATTGAGTTGAACTTAGAGTTAACGTAGGAAAAGGGCATATATGGTGAGAAGTCTTATCCGCGTCTTGGACCTACCATATTCCATTATACTTCCATAGTTTCAATTTCACCCTAACAACCAACACAATCTGATCCAAAGAATAAATATTAATTAATCGAAGTAAGTGTACAACGATTTTAGTTTTGTTATTCTTCAAGTCGCATCTTAATTGCAGGAATCTCCATTATTCACGTCTATTTGCTGCAACTTCCGAGTAAATCTAAATATGTAACAATTTTTAAACATGAGCGTCACTTGAAACCTTCACTTTTTTAAAGGGATTTTTGTTTCATAATTTTATTTAAAATGTTATTAGCATTAGAATTAACTTTATTTAAAAACAATTAATACTTCTTGAGAATTTTTTTTTTTTGAGATTCGTAATTTGCTTTATTCCTTGAAAAAATTGACATCATAATATAAATCATAAAATCAGTTGATCCGAATAAAAAAAATCATATGTACGGTTTTGTTTTCATTCGTGGGTCGTTTTTATCCGTCCAAATGCGGCAGAAAATCGCGTATGAAATTCGATATCCAGTCTCTGTGTTGATGTCTCTTACGTGCTCGTCTAGTTTTGATGAATTTTGTTCTAAATTATCTTTGTTGTTACGTATATAACTTTTCTATGATCTGTGGTTTTGAAAAAGCAAAGAAAGTAGTGAGTGATTGAAGTAGAAGCTTTTGCAGGGTCCTTTCTTGGCCGAGTCTAGGAGGGATTACAGATTAGTGACAAGTCAAGGGAAACGGAGGCGGTGTTGATTACGGCACCCATTGTGTTGCTACTAAAATATGTAAAACTGAATTTCATATATTAAAATATTATTAATAAGCTATTATATATTATTTTATAGTTTAAACTAATGTGTTTTTATTTTATTTTTTGAAATTTAAACTAATGTGTTTTATATTAATAGAATATCTAAATTAATTTATTTTTATTATTATATTTAGAATAAATACTTTATCTTCTCAAAAATATTTGTTGGTAGTAATATTTAACATTAAAATCATAATCAACCTCTTTCAAAAATAATATTATACTAACTTTAAATACAATATTTTTTTCAAATACTTGTGTTTACATTATTCAGTTCAGAATCTTTTATTTATTTTTTGCCATTCGCCCATAAATGCATCAAAATGATGTGGAGGATACATTATTTGTGTGTGGAATCCCAATATTTAGTAGCAGAGCAAAGTTATGATGTGTCTGTGATCACTCATATACATTGAGCCCGCCAAGCTAGTAAAATGGGCCTCTGAGACCATAATCTGTGTCTTGTATGATAGCCAGCAGAGAGGGCTTATAAACCTCAGTTACCAATCCTATCATGTTTTATGTTGTGTTTTACTTAACAACTTGAATCAGACAAATTTTATACTTTCATGCACTGATTTCATGTTAATGTTATTTTTGCACCATTTCACATGTTAGTATAGAAAAAAAAACATCATTAACAAATTACTTATCATAATGACTATTAAGGATAAATAATTTAATTGGTATAACAATGTGATTTTTTCAAGGAAGAAACATGAAATGAAAAATGAGAGAAATAACATACTCAGAAGAGATTCAGTTTTCATCTCATTCTGATCACAATTCCATTTCACGTCAGTTTATTTAAACCGACGAAAATTAACACAACACATTCTGAAGAGCATCTGCACCAGTCGTCCATAAGCAGATAATCCTGCAGCTAAACACAATGGCATTAATCATTGAAATGGAAAGCAAGTTTCTTTCATGTCCTACATTCTGATAATACGAATATTTCCTAAACATCATTCACGTCTTAATGCAGCTACCTATTGAAGTTTCGTAATAAACTGGTATTACTGAAAAAATAAGTAAATAAATAAAGCTATGGAGCATCAAAGAACAAAATGACTTCCCTTCCACTGGTGTTAAACTAGCCTATCGTTAGTGCATAATTACACAAAACAGAAACTAAACAAAGCATTCTGGGTAATCAATAATCACATAAAGTGAAAAGCAGTACCTAATGTTTGTCTCCATGGTCATCATGTTCCTCCCATGGGTGTCGCCAACCCTACGAGTCGAGAGACAAAGTTAGCCCTAAGAATGAAGTTTAGTTACAGTTAATAAGGCTGATTATGAAGACCGCTGAATAGAGGAATTTCTTACCAACACTACAGGACCATATTGCTTAACCCTATAGAGGACCCAAAACCTGAAACACCAAAATTTGAGGAACTTCAGAAACTCAACCAGCATTGTAGTATCATCTTTTTCAATCTTAGCCAGGAACTTTCTTCCTCTTATTATTGTCTATAGATCAGCATGACAAAGCAATAGTATCTTCGAATGAAAATAACAACTGTCATGGATCATGATAACTAACGAAAAGTTTGCAGCCTAACCCGGAAAACTAGCGACATAAAACATAAAAACCCTCTGAGAGTGGAGATAATTTGATCCAAATTCAAGCCTTCACTGTACTCTAGAAAGTAATTCTTCCCTCTCAAGGCATATCCTTCTTCAGCTGTCAAATTGCACCCGATTTCCCAATGCCTAGCTCAAGTCAGCAGATTCATTCAATAATAAATCCAATAAAGCAAAAATGACGGATTGGGAACTATAGTCAAGCGTATTTTATTCGATTAGGCAGATTGATGCAAAATATGACAAATGAAGATTTAGATCAAGTCAAACTTTGTCGCGGCCGTTTTTCAGGTGGGTCCGGAATTGGGCTTCAACTTGAATAATTTGGGTTAGAGTCGTCCATTTTAAAATGAATTTAGGTGGGCCAGAGACCATCTTACCTGATCTGCGTTGCACCATAAACGTGTCGGGTTCGGGAGTCAGTTACGATCAAGGAAGGATTAGCACCATTGAACCGCCCTTTCAGTAACAATTAGTTTGCCGGTTGTCTTTATTTGTAAAAATTAAGAATTTAAATTTAAATTTAAAAATTCGATTCGAATTGCTTACCCTTTGATCGATTGAAATTACTACTGGAAAATAAAAAATGTTAGATGATAAAAAAATAAAAAAATATCGAGTAAAAATAATTAAATAGTAAA